GGGATCATGACCTGAGCCGAAGGCAGACGCTCAACGACTGAGCCACCCAGGCGCCCCTATCCCTTTATTTTTTGAGTGTCTAGTTGACTGGCAAACTGAGGTTTGTCTGGGGGGACCTCAGGGAGGAGAGTGGAGTTCTGAGGCCCCTGAGCTTCCTGTAGTCATCTGGCTACCTGGTTCCACATGCAGCTGAAACAGTATAACAGCCCCCTATTAAATATTGGCATCTCCCTTCACAGCATCCAGGGTTTTTTTTTTCCCCTTGCTCCCTTTCTGGAGAAAGCAAAGACACAGTATGAAATTCAAGCCGGAAGACAGAGGTAAAGGAGGAATGACTCTGACTCTTGAGCCTTATAGCTATGAAGAAATCAGTGTTTTCCTTCAAGCCTATTAGGGAAGCCTGAATAAAACCATCTGCTGCTGTAAACTGTCGTGCCTCCAGACGAAAAAATAGTTTCATCTTCACATCTACATCCCATGCTTTCTGGTCCATTCCTTTTTCAAGTAGAGGAAAGTGGCAGATACCCCTTTTCTGTCACACATGCTCACAATCATGCACACATTCACTAGACTGTGTGTATAAACAACCCAAAGACGTATGTAAGTAAAATCATGTATTATTTCGGGGGTACACATCTCTGTGGATAGATGGGTGGATGGACAGATGAAGGACAGATGTAGATGGATGGATGGGTGGATGGGGGGAGGGATGGATAGAGATGGATTATACTGACCTCAAAATAACTGAAACACACTTATCTCCAAAATTCCGCTAAAACATAAAACTTAAAATATTGGGCTCGACTAAGTTACAAGTTTTTGAAGATGCATGTATTTAAAAAGTTTTGAAAAAATACATATCCCAAGTATGAACACTCTCACGGAGTTCTAGGAAAACTGTAATGGGATGAGAACGCTGAGGTACCAGCAGTGACATAAGGCCTTTTTGTCCGGGAGATGACTTTCCGACGTCGGGGTTGGAAGTGGTCTAACAGACCTCCAGACAAACAGCCGCTCCACCTGCCACATCAGCACATGAGACACTGAAATATGCAACTCTGGATAAGAACCAACCCTAAAGATTAAAGATTTATTTGGATTAACATCTTTGCATCAAGAGGGGAGAGGAAATTAGTCAAGGAATGGGTAGTCAGGGCCCTGTTCCTTGCAAAGCCCCTTGCATTTTCCACACAGAACATTAAAGCCAGAGCTCCCAAGTGAGAACAGACTGAAGACCCAGCCCACTCCTCCTGAGTCCGGAAAGGGAGTCTGGGCTTTGATTCAAGAGCAGCTTCCCAGGGAAGCTAGGAAGGATGTTTTTGTTATGTACCTTTCAAAACAGACACTCAAGCACCTCCCAGGCAACATGGAAACATGGACTCCCTGCTCAAGGATCTCCTTCAGAAAGTGCAAATTTCATTCTCCCAGCCTACCTCAGAGGGTAGGCATTATTTAGGTATCCTTGCTCTGCTTTCAGGATGAGGAAAGGCAGCGTGCACAGCCATGACCCCTGGCATCTGCTTCTCCAGGAGAGCTGCTCCCTGCCTCCACTGGACTGAGCCTGTCACCTCCGAGTGTACCATCCACTGGAAAACTCCTGGACAGGAAAGGTTCCTATTGCTGGAACAGATACCTATTTTTTAATGTTGCAGTAAGTATCTTTTCCAGGCCAAGGTTTTAAAAATTGGTTGGCCAGTTCCAATTTGGACGAAGCTGAGAGGTTGTCTCAAGGGTCTTGATACAATTTAAGGTCTTCTGTAACTTACGGGATTTATATTTTCAGCAACGCGATTTTCTTTTGTTTCCTGCCACCTGAAATTAGTTTTTACTTCCATCTGAGAATCATAAAAGCTTCAGAACATTAAAAAGGCTATCGCTTTACACAAAACAAAATCTGAGAAGCTAAATTAGAATCCAGTTCCGAGGTCAGCCGCAGGGACAGGTGGGTGTGGATAGGATCCAGGCCCACAGGTTGACCAGTATCCCTGGGAGCTGTTGCCGCAGTAAATTGTTTTAAATAAGTTTTTTTTTTCCTTCTTTTTTAAACCAAGTCCATCAAGTGACACAAACTCAAGCTGATTAAAGCCTGCTGCCCTCGGACTGATCTTTGTCTGCGAGGGAACATTCGGTGTGGAGACGGGAAACAACGCAATCTACATCTTCTGGCTGCCTCCAGACCCCCCCCCCCCCACGCCCAAATTCTGCTCCAGCGATGGCTTCATTCTCTCTTTCTCTTGTTGCTGCTCCTTCGAAAGAGATGTCTCCAGCAGCCTCATCACTAGGCAGAGTGAACTCTTCTTCACATGTTAGTGTCCTGGACAGGGGTGTTATCCTGTGAACACAGGAGGAAAGGATGAGTTAGGAAGAGAGTGGGGGAAATCCTGACGCTCAGCAGACCTCCTTGGTGATACCAGATCCAGCAAGAATTGTAACGCTAACAGTAGTGATGGTAATAATAATGCTATGTGCTTGACGGAGGTTTCTACGAGCATCAAATCATGTATTCCTCACAAAAGCAAGACGAGTTAGGTACTTCTGTTAGCGCTGTTCTGCAGGTGGGGCAGTTAAGGCACAGAAAGGTCAAGTGACTTCCCCTAGGTCACACAGCTAGGAAGTAACAGAGTCAGGATTTAAAACCAGGGATCAGAGCTTGAGCCCTCAACTATTAGGTGACATTGCCTATTCCTTGATGCCTGGCTTCCCATGCCCTCCCTGCCCCAGCTTCTTACTTACTAATTCATTCCCACTCAATTTCATCTCCCTGTTACACTGCTCAAGAAACTTTGGTGACATAAAGGTGGAAAAAGAACACAAAGAATCAAAAATAGAAGGTGGATACTTTAGTAAAAGGACAGGAAAATAGCTATTTATTCAACATTCAACCCAAAGTATGACTTTTAGCTCCTTCTGGGCTGGGGCTGCACCAGGCCTTACCACCTTGGGTTCTCTGGCTGGGAAACAGAGACATTTACGACTATGTCCACGGCATCAGGTGGCATGTGCTCTGGGCCACCGGAACGCGCTGTACTGAGCATGAGGGGGTGCTTGAGTCACTGCGGGTGTTCCTCACCGGAGCAGTTGGGGAAGGCCTACGGAGGACAGAGACTTCCAGGCCGCAGTGAGGGCAATCTCAGTCGGGGGTGCGGGCGTTTCTGGTGGAGGGGACGGCAGGACGGGTGGGACGATGCGTTGCCTCTTGTGGAATGGTGGGTCCTGGAGGCATGGGCCCCATCATGGGGGAGAGGGAAAGGCTGGGAGAAAGTTCAGCATGGGGAGGAGGGTGAACTCGATTCTCCCATGAGTGGTATCAAAGGGTTTGGGGTAGGAGAGTAGACACCGAGATGCCATTTTCAGCAAGATGAATTTGGTGCTAATGTATAGAGTGTGTCTGGAGACCAGGAACTCCTTGAGGAGCGAGTCATGATTGTAGAGATAAGGAAGGGGTCACAGCAGTGGAGACGGGGCAGGAGGGAAAGCGAAAGGCCCTCCCTGGCAAACCCCCTAAGACGTGGGGGGCTGATTAGGCAGGGAGGTGGAAGAAACATGAGCACCTCATTAGCAGAAATGGGTGAGTATAACAAAGGAATGTGGGGTTTCAGTTGAATACAAGTGAAGAAACAGAGCAAGTAGGACGAGTTTGGTTTTGAGTTTGAGTGACTGGCAGGTGTCCAAGCGCGGAGGTCGGTTGGTGTGTGGTTGGGACCAGGGCCAGGCTGGTGCTAAGCAGTCAAGAGTGGCCCAGTGGCTGATGGTGAGGGGCAACCTTAGGGATCATTCACAAAATATGACGGCTGGAGCTTGGTAGTGGGGGCCAGAGGAGACTGCCAAGGTCAAATGTGGCGGTTCTTCTTGAGGAGACAGGGAGGGAGGGAGGGAGAGGAGTTGGCGGGGCGGCCCACCAGACAGAGGCTACGGTGGCAGGTGGCCTCGGTGGCAGGTGGCCTCAGGGGCAGGGCTGACACCTCACCGAGGTAAGAATGCTTACTCTTTGGTGGCAGGGAAGCAGGGAAGCACTTGTGAGCTTCACATCAGAGAGAAGCGTGAGATCACAAGGAGAAACAAAGGAGGGGGACAGCACTGGGTATGTGGGGGAGGGACAGACTCGGGGGATTTTTCTTTAGGACTGGAGAGAACTGAGCAAGGTCTATAGGCAGAAGGGGGTGAGCTAGTGAGGAGCTAGAAACTTGGAAGAGCACCTGGATAGATGGGAAATTCTTAGTGTGACCCCTCACTTAAAATGCACAGACACACTCCACAAATGTCCTGTAAAAATGTCCAGAAAATGGCAGTTGGGGGAAGCCAGATCACAGCCGATGCGGGTTTGTCTTGTCAAGAAGGGACCTGTCCTCGGATTCGTACTTTGAGAGGACGAGGCTGACCTTCCTTTCACTCACATAAGAGGTGAGGTCATTTGCAGAGCCCGTGGGGATGAGGGAGGAGTGACTGAGGAAGGTAGGTGAAAACAGGCTGATAGAATGCAGTGAGTGAGTTTCCAGGCAGCGGGGGAAGATGGATGTGGCTCAGCCCCATTGGTAAGAGGTCATAAGGGGTCCGGGCTGCTTGGCAAAGAATGTGGAGTGAGAGTGGCTGAGCTTTGTGGATTGATCCAGAAAGAGAGAGCAGGTCAGTGGGGAGGGCAGGACGGTCCAGAGGCTAAGGGAGGGGCTGAAGAGGGAAAGCAGGGGAGTGTGGTCCCAAGAGAAGTGAGAAGAGAAGGCCAAGAATTGAGGCTCAAGAGAAAGTGGTATCTCATCAGCTGAGGGAGAAAGACATTTCAAATCAAATATTGAGAAATCAAGGAGAATGCCTTGGACGAGCAATGGAACCAGGCGGTTAGGAAGTCAGGGGTTACTGTCGGTCCTACAAGGTCTTGAATGTGATGCATCTTGAATGTCGTGGCTTGGGGAAGTTTATCTTTGGCATACCTGAGTGCCCTACACAGTACTGGAAACATAGTGAGTGCTGGAGAAACACTTGTTTGATTGATTTACAGTATGGGAGCTGGATCCTAGTCAGTGCCCTCTCTCCAGGGGGAAGCAGAATCCCAAGTGTTGGGATTTGATATATCCAGCCTGTTCCGTGACTGAAATTCCCAGAATGACTCATTCCTTAAGCATAAAACGTTGAAATACTCATGAGGGGCTATGCAGTAGGAAGTTAACCCTTTCTAGCGCTTTCACACGGCTGATACCTGGGGCCTCATCGGAAGCCTTTCCCTGCTCTCTCCCTTGAAGAAGGGACGGCCCCATCCTCTGTGCTTCACAGAGCATAGCAAGTTCCTGGGAAGAATCACATTTCTTCCACTGCCTTGTCATTATTTGTGTTTTTTGTTCATCTGTTTGTTTTATTTGTCCTTATTTGCTATTTGTTTATGCCTCTGTCCTTTTCATCTTGGAGCCCCCAGTAAGTCCCATAGTGCCAGGGGTAACTGCTGTTTGGTAAATGTTGAGTGGGACTCCAATTAGTTTCTCTGATCAATGTATTTCTACCAATCAAAGAACTAGATGGGGATTAGATCAGGGGGCTGCGAAGCCGTCTGCTGCCTCTGCTGGACCCACGAAAGGCCTGGGACAGGCATGGGGTGTGCAGAGAAGCCAAGACCCAAGCAGCCCCCTTCACCATCACTGCACCGGCGAATCCTTTTGCACCACTGCCTGAGGCTTCTTGCTTCTAACCTTGACTGAGCCTGACAAGGACGAGAGAGGATGGGAGGCAACGCCCCTCCCAGATTGAATAAATGATGCCGATGTGCAGAGAGGAGCTGTGTGGTGTCCCTGAACATTGAGCTCCGTGACCTTGGACAACTTGTGTTCCCCTTTGGAGCCTCAGGTCCTTCCTCTCTAAAACCAGGGGTTTGGGCTAAGGGTGTCAGGATTTTGTGTCTCCGTGACGGAGAAGGAGACGGAAAGCATGGAGAGGTGGTGGGTGGACGTCCTCAGTGCCTCCCTGGGCTTCCTGTTTGGAAGAAGAGCACCTGCGAGGGTGTGGGCATCTGGCTCCCTGGCCAGGGCTCTGCCAGGCTGGGAACATAGAGGTGGCTCAAGAGGTTTCAGGGGAGCCTGTTCCAAAGCTCCTCCAGTTTCTGCAGGAGACCTTCCCGAAGCTTTGCAACCAAGGTGATTCCTTAACGCCTCAGGACCAGTGCTATGGGAAGTTCTCCTGGCGAGATGAGCACCTCCCAGCCTGAAGCTAAGGTGGAGCCGCCCCTGGCAGGTGACCACGTGGACTCGCTGGCTTCATCCTCAAAAAGAAGGGAGGATCTGAGGCAAGTGTTTGCCTTCTGGACATCTGGTGAAGAGCTCCGGGCTGATGGGATCAGATCGTTCATTTTGATGGATGGTGCTGAAGAAATGTGAAGCATCTTTGCTTAACAGCCCACCCAGAGGAGTCTCACCCACACCTCAGGTGTCTTTGGGACTCCTACTACTTTCTTCTCCCCAGTCTAGTTTGAGTGGGAATAATGTGAGGGCCCCTGGTGAGCCCCTCTCCGAACACATCAACCCTTCTTATAACTCTAGTTGTATCATTAGAGATTATTTCCTTTGGGTCAAGCAATTTTCTCTCTTTTAAAAATTCACTCATTCACTCAACAAATATATTTTTTAAGAACTACAGTGTTCCAGGCTCAGCGGTAGGGGCTGGGGATACAGTGAGGGCAAAAGAGTAAAGAGAGATGATAAGAAAATAAATAAGAGCATGTGAAATAGTGATATGCACCATGATGGCAGAGTAGAATAGTGCAAGAGAGTGACCGGGTGGTCCAGACAGGCCTAAGGGGCATCTGAAGGATGGGTGAGAAGGGGCCATGTGAGGGTCAGGAGAAGTGTCTCGGGGCAGGGGGTGGGGGAACAGCAGGACAGCGCTCTGAGCAGGGAGTGATCTTGGTATATTTGAAGAACAAAATAACCATTGGCATGACTAAAGCACAGTGAGGAGAAAGGTCAGGGACAACTGGGCAACAGCCTCGCGAAGGGTTTGGATTTGATTTTGAGTGCACTGGGAAGCCGTGGGACAGGGGGTGGGGAGGCACAGGGGGTGGCATACCCCCCAAAGATATGTCCAATCCTAACCCCCAGTACCTGTGAATATAACCTTATTTGGAACTGGCATCTTTGCATATGTAATTAAAGATCTCAAGATGAGACAATTCTGGATTTAGGGTGGGTCCCACCTCCAATGACTGGTGTCCTCATGAGAGAAAGGAGGGCAGTTTTGAGACACACAGAGCCAGGGAAAGACCATGCAAAGACAAAGGCTGGGTCTACTACTCAGGGAGTGTCAAGGACTGCCGACCACCAGCAGGACCTGGAAGAGGCCAAGAAGGATTCCAGGGGTTGGTAGCAGCCGTCAGAAGTCAGGGGACGGCATGGGACAGATTTTCCCTCAGAGCCTCTAGAGGGAACCCACCCTGCCAACACCTTGATTTTGGAGTTCTGACCTCCGGAATTGTGAGAAAATACATCTCTATGGTTTTAAGCCACCAAGTCTGCGGTAATTTGTTATGGCAGCCCTAGGAAGCTAACGTAGGAGGTGAGTGACTTTAGCAATGAGTAGACGATCTAAACACAGACACACACACACACACACACACACACCTCTTTGTTTGCTATACGGAAATGAACTATATAGGCAGAAAATGAGGAAGCAGGAAGCCCAGTAAGAGGCTGATCTGGTAGGAAGCTGATGGCCGCCTGAGTGAAGGAGTGAGTGAGTGAATGTACTGAATGAATGTACTAACGGAGGGGGGAAGTGAAGCACTGGGGGGTGACTTTGTTGATGAGATTGTCAGGTTTGGGGGTGGAGGGTAGAACACTGAGCTTCTCTTGTGGAGCTGCTGAGTCTCAGCAAGGCATTCTGCTCCTGAACACAGGTAGGTGAGTTCAAGAGGGCTTCCTGGAATGGTGGTGGTGGGGGTGGGGGGGGTTGCTGAAGGGCCAGGAAGTGGGGGTGGGCAGGGACTGAGGTACCCTTCCTCTGTGCACTTGGTGTCCAACACAAAGCTTCCTCCTCAAATGGCCCCACTCGAATGCCACCTTCACCCTGAAGCTTTTCCAACTTCCTCCCACACACACGCACACACACACACATGCACACACACACACACATGCACACACACGCACACACACACTGTTTCTCCCTCGCTTGTGCTTTGGGCTTCCCCCAGAGAACCCCCTGCCCACGGCCACACTCCGCCTTCCTCAGTGTGCCCTAAGGAGCTGCTGGTCTCCCATGCTAGCCTGAGTTGATGGAAAGGTGCACCCCCCTTCATCTCTGAGCTCCCCAGCAGTGAGCTGAGCCCAGAGCCCTGCCTCCTGGGCCTTCAGTAGCTGTGTGTGGGCCTCAGTCACCGAGCCGGGCCTGGTCTCCATACATACCCAGAGCACCCCAGAACTCCGAGTGGGCAGGAAGGCGGACAGAGCCCGGCACATGCTTCCCTTTCTTGTATCTCTGTCCCCTCACCGTCTGCAACAGGGCCTTTGTTTCTGCACACTCGCACTGATTTGTGAGGAAGTATAAACAGACACACTCTGGCCCTGGCCTCCCCAGGTGACCGTGCAGGCCACTTACCTCGGGCTTGGGGGCCTCATGGTGGGGATTGCAGCCGGGCTCCAGAATGGCCCCTTCCTCATCCTTTTCCTCGTCTTTCCCCTGCTCCGGGATGCGGGGGCCCTCCACCCCTTCAGGGGGGCTTGGTGAGGCCTCCCCCACTGCTCCGTCCACCGGCCCCTTGGTGTCTTGGCTCCTCTGTCTGGGCTCCTCCTCTTCATTTCCTGCCCTCTCCACCTTCACCTCCTCAGATTTTTCTGTCTCTTTTCCGGCTGCTTTTTCTTCTCTGGGGCTCCTACTTCCGTTTGCCGCCTCTGGGTTGGAGGCTTGGGCTGGTTGGACGGCCTCCCCTGTGGCTGGATGTGGGCTGGCCTCCTCTTCAGAGCCCCCCACAGCCTTGTGGGGATGCTGGGCTTCATCCATGGCCCTGCCCTTCTCCTCCTGCTTCTCCGTCCTGCTGGACGTCCTCCTCAGAGGAGGCTTCTCCTGAGACCCCAGCTGCCTCCCCACTTCCTCCCCCACCGGCCCCTCGCTGGGTGGAGGGGAACCCAGGGCCTTGCTCTTGGATGGGAACACCTCATCCCCATTCTCTTCCTTGGCACCATTCTCCTGGGATGACTCGGGGGCCCTGAAATCTCCCAGGTCCCCACAGTCCGACTGAGACCTTCGGAATCGTCTGGAGGGAGGGCGCCTTTTTATCGAGCCCTTCGTCCGCACCTGGAAGAACGTGTTAAGAGAAATTATCCACAACCTGTGAAAAAGGCCAAGAAGGGGACTGCATGTCTTTCGATGTCAGTCTAAGGCACTGCTTCGTCAGCCAGCCTTTAAGGGTCATTTGATTTTCCAGCAGAATGGACCCCTGTGTGCTATGTGAAGTCACAGGGTAACCAGTAGGTTTTTGCCTCATGAAGACGCAAATGCTTTCCATCCACTAAAAATGATAACCTACCTATACTTTTATTATCCTGTAAAACATTAATCCGTTTGGTGTCTAATTTAGCAATTTAATTCTAACATTTGTTTTTTCAGTTGCCTATAAATAACCAGCTCTTTGAATGTTCTTTGAATGAACTTTACTATATTATAGGTTTCTTCACAAATCTGACAAGCTGAATAAAATCTATCTCTATTTTACATAAGAGTCATGTTTTAACATTTAGGACATTTCACTTTGACAAAGGTGAATCCAACAGACAAGAGGGTTAAGGGCCTGCAGATGACCTGGCCTTGCTCAGGGACCTCATGGGAACAGAGCCGGACAGCAGGTGACCAGCTTTGTCCCCTTCCCCAGCCTGGCCCTCCCAGCCCTCCGCAGAGCTGGCTAATCCCCGGGAAAGCTGCACAGACAGACACCTTCACTTTCCTGGGCTCAGGTCCGCTATGAGCAGAAGCCATGCCTTAAGAGCCTCCAGCAGAGCTGCCCAAAATCATCTCCTGTTTGGGAAGTTTGTGCATCTCAGGATCACTCGGGCCTCATCTAGGCCCACCGGACTTTGCCAGAAGTGCAATGGAAATGTTTATTTGGATGCCGTGCTTTACTCAAGTGGTGTGGCCTTTAAAATTTTATATGTAGATGAAATCTTATTTCATAAACCTTAAATCTTATTTTTGTAAGTCTTATTTTCCCATTGGCTTACATTTTGGTATTTGTCAATCCTAGCTCCTTCTCAGAAATTTGGAATCAATACTTGGCTTATAAGGGCTCTCCAGGCTCTTTCCTGAGACCATGGTGTGGCCAGCCCTGCAGGCTATCAAGGACTGGCCCTGGCCTCACAGTCAGCAGGGTTCAGGAATACACCCTGCTGCCCTAAAGCAGCCCCCCAACCCTGGACCCCATTACAAACAGGTGGCCCCGCCTCCCTCCGGGCCCGCCTCCCTAGTGAGCATCCTTTGAAGAAAGGAGGCTCTCCCCTGGGTTCCTCTCTGCTGTCAGGGGTCTCTCCATTACCCTGAGCTGGAGAATGTCCACCCTATCCCCAGCCAGCAGACTCAAGACTTAGCACGTTTGTTTCCCTGGATTCTACCTGTTTCTACACATTTGACCTTCTCCCCCGTGGATTTTCTGGAATGGCCCAGAAGACCCCACTCTTTCCATCCATTACTTTAAAGTTCTATCCATTTGCCATTCCCTGGCATCAGACCCCTTTATGTTGGCCCTTGCTGGGCTCTGGCCCAGATTTGCCGGGCACCTGCTTGGACAGTACTGGACCGTATCTCTGATTCTTACCGTGTGTAGTAGGGCTGAGGATCTGACGAAAGAAAGCAGACTCAGGGCATCCACAGAAAGGGGCCTTACCTACATCTTTTTGCAAAGGGAACAGTTTGGCTAGTCTTTAAATAGGGCAAGCTGCGGTAAGAATGATTTGAACCCATACTGGGGCACTTAAAAGTATTTACCTCAAGCCAGAGCAGTGTGGTTTGGAGTCCTAATGACCCTGCCCACCCTCTGTGTGAATCACTGATCAGGTCTTCAGATTTTGCTTTCAGTTTTTGACACAACTATCTGTGTGGCTGGGACCCGTCCTGAATTCTCAGCCCTCTCTCCACGAAGGATAGAGCGCTCCATTCCCCAGGCGTGCCTTCCGGGTGAGGGCACAGCTCTGGGAGAGGGGATGCGAGAGGCAGGCTAGGGAGAGGGGCCATCTCAGGCACAGAGAAGTTTCCTTTCTGTTGAGAACCAACTCTGACGGCAGCTCACGTGCGTCCTCCCTTCCCCAGGACAACATCACGGCGGAGATGATTCAGGACTGCCCAGTGCCTGCATTTCTACCAACACGCTGCAGGGCTTTGGACCCAGACATTACCTTATTGTAACAGGGCAGATGGCTCCCTTCAGGAGGCTGGTCAAAGCTAACTGGCACCTCCTCTGTCTCCTGAGACCGCACGCCAGGGCTGCTGGGGGTGGAAGGTGGGCTCTGGAATGGTGACACCGCGGTCTTAAGTCCAGGACTCTTGGGCGAGGCCCCAGGTAGCAGGGCCGCTGGATCGAAAGCTAAATTGGCCTGCCAAGAAAAGGTGAGGCATTTCAAGTTGGGGTGGGGGACCCTAAGAGTTTCTGCTTGAGCTTGTTGGGTATGTGGCCTGGAACTGGTTGGGGCCAGGTAACCAGGTAATGTGAGGCTTTCTGTGTCGCTTCCTAACCAAGTATCCATTGCCCTGGTCCTGGAGGCACTGTCTCTTGCCACCACCCGCTCATACCCCATCCCCACCCCCCGCCCTCCAGAGCTGGATAAGACTGAGTCATGGTAAGAATTAAAAATATAGGGGCGCCTGGGTGGCTCAGTCGTTAAGCCTGCCTTCGGCTTGGGTCATGATCCCAGAGTCCTGGGATCAAGCCCCACATCAGGCTCCCGGCTCAGCGGGGAGTATGCTTCTCCCTCTGCCACTCCCCCTGCTTGTGTTCCCTCTCTCACTGCCAAATAAATAAAATCTTAAAAAAAAAGAATTAAAAATATAAAACTACATAGCAATGCTGTGAGCCCAAGCCATGTTAAAAAAGCAGCATGTGATGAGTACCAAGGGGCAGGCTTGGTGACAGGAATTCAGGGCTGGGCATTAAAGGAGGTCTCCCTCCCCACCCAAGTTCAAGCTGGAAAGTTCCCTCTGTAAGACTGCTTGCAAATAAAAATATATCTTGCTGGCCAGCAGGAAACTTGAGCTTTGAATTATGGACTACTCCAGGGAGGAAAAATCATACTTCATAACTCATCTAATAGAATATTTGGCTGAAAAGTCTAGAGGATGATGCATTTCTTAGTTCTTGGCTCCCCCTCCCCCCCTTCCCAACAAAGTAAGGTTCCTATGGGATCTGGCCAAATTGTCATCCTGTTGCTGACATTCTTTTTTTTTTTTTTTTTTTTTTTTATTTTTTTTAAAGATTTTATTTATTTATTTGAGAGAGAGAATGAGAGAGAGCAAGCACATGAGAGGGGGGAGGGCCAGAGGGAGAAGCAGACTCCCTGCCAAGCAGGGAGCCCGACGCGGCACTCATCCAGGGACTCCAGGATCATGACCTGAGGCGAAGGCAGCCGCTTAACCAACTGAGCCACCCAGGCGCCCTGTTGCTGACATTCTTAATGAGATTGAATGATTAGCGATCACAACCTTATTCTCAGTTGCTGTGCCTCCCAGAGAGGCTCCTTAATGATGGGGAAGGGAAGGGGAAGGAGACCAAGATTGTGGGGCACAGAGCACATGGGAATGAATTTCTGGCACTCGGATGAGGGCTGAGATGGACTGCAGGGAGGCAAAGGTGAGGGTCCTGGGCTGCACCCTTGGGCTGGCTATGAGAGGGGATGTGCACATCTGGATCCCTTCTGAGAGATCCTCCTTATGTACATGAGATCCCTGCAGCCTCCCAGCGTGACAGGCAGCCCCACTCCTTCCCTGCAGCTGGAGGGCAATCAGGGCTTTTCAGTAGGAATTCAACTTCTGGGGAGCCCCCTCCCACACTGCACAGGGTAAGCTCATGACCAGAAACCAGAGATGCTTTTCTTAACCCCAAATCAGGCTGGGGGCCAAATCCCTGGGCTCTCCCAGAGGTGGAATTGCAAAAGCTGTGGCTGCTTGTCTTGACACACCCCTAATAACAGCTTTGGAGCAAAGTTGATGAGCTGGTTTTCTTAGTTGGGCCCAGATGGGAGGATACGGTGCACAAGAGCCTTGCTGTTCTCCCGGGTGGCTGCACAGAGACCGCGGTGAAAGCCGGGGCAGCCTCCACAGGCCCCACCCAGACCTATGCCACCCCTCCTCTATGCTTTAGCTCATGCTGGTCCCACATCAGGAGCACCTTCCTCCTTCCTTTCCAGCCACCCATCCTGGAGGACCGATTCAGGGTCTAGGCGTTTCATAAAGCATGCATTAATTACTCCTGTCCACTCTACTGTACTCTTGCTCTAAAATTCCTGAGCAAAAATAAATAAATAAATAAATAAATAAATAAATAAATAAATAAATAAAAATAAAATTCCTGAGCAGTGGTTCTGATCTGGGGTGGGGGTGGGGGGCAGTCGTGTCCCCGGGAGACATTTGGTAATGCCTAGAGATGTTTCCCACTGTCACAGCTTGTTGGAGAGTGTTGCTGGCATTTAGTGGGTAGGGACCAGAGATGCTGCTAAGCATCTTGCAATGCACAAGGCAGTGCCCTGCCACAAAATTATCCTGCCCCAATATTGCCCAGGTTGAGAAACCCCAATTTAGAGTAGTAGGAGTCGGGGGGTTACACACAATTTAGATCTCGGTATTTACTCTCCGAGAGTTTATGTCTTCTATTGTATCATGTGTGAAAAATCTTGTCTCCTCCCAAAGACCGTGAGCTCAAGTTCAGTGCCACAAGGTTCATGTACACCCCCAGGAAAGCCAGCCAGTTGCAGGCACAGTGGTGAGGGCTCTGGGCTCACAAAGTGATAGGTAGGGAGGCAAGCTTTCCAAACAACAGATTTGGCCATATCAGTGCAATGCCTAGCCACTGAATTTCAGCCCTATGCACGACTGAAATGGTTTGTAGGGGCATTCAGGCCTAGGGGGAGAGGACTTGGCTAGTCCTGGAGCATTTCTTGCACTCTAATGTCTTTTTCTAGACTCTTGAGACACCCCATTATCCACCAAGCACCATTAGCTGTTGACCACATGAGCTGGTGCTGGATGGGATCTTTATATTAGCCCTTTGCCCCTGGATAGAGCTCCTCATCCTTCACAGCTGCTTATCAGAGATCAACTCTTCAGGTGACAGCAGGTGCTACCCCCAGGAGCCCCGAAGACATGCAAATGTTGGATAAGAGATGAGGTGGGGTCAGAGTACCATTTTGCACTTACCTGAAGCTTCTCAATCAGAGGCGAGCTCTTCACCTTGATTTTAGGAGGATGGCTGGCATTGGGCAGTGATTTCTATAGAGCAAATGGACCAAAACAACCAAATGAGCGAGGTAAAGGGAGGTGGCGTTCTGGCTGGAGCTCACAAGGCACAGGTGGAAGAAGAGGGGCACAAGCTGGTGTCACCACTTTCCCATTTAGCTTCAGCTGCCCACTTACCTCGTTCGGGCCTGGGCCAGTGTAGGCTCCCCTCCACCCCTCCCACATCCTGCAGTTGGCAAGACCACTTGAATCTATGAATCAGAGCAGGCAGGACAGACATCTGAAACACAGGAGGCCTCCTGTTCCAGGAAGGATGACTTCGTGGTCATTACGAGGGAACAGACCATGTCTGAGGGAATGAGATCGTCACCTCATGACCTTCAACAAAGTGAGCCAACAACAGGAGGGAATTCCAAAGAGAAAAGGCAAAATGACCGTATGTTCTGTTTGCACAACTAAAACAAGAAACCACAGACCAAAGCTAAAACCTCACAGAGGTACAACTGAAAATCTTCCCTTGAACTAATGATATTTTGGAAAATCCCATCAATGTATCATTTATAGATTATCATTCTCCCAAACATTGACTATTCATTCTCATTAAGCAGACATTTACTCTCTACTACATTCTGGGCATTCTGTTGGTTATATGAAGATGAATATGATTTAGTCTCTGGCCTCTAAGAAGCAGTCAATGGCTAATACATATATAGAAAACCATACCTACGATCTGCTAGTTGGAGATATTTTCGTGATGAATGTACATCAGGAATCTTGTCTGTAGTTAATTTTATCTAAAAAAATGGACTCCTTGGGGGCACCTGGGTGGCCCAGTCGTTAAGCATCTGCTTTGGCTCAGGTCGTGATCCCAGGGTCCTGGGATCGAGCCCCGCATTGGGCTCCCTGCTCCGTGGGAAGCCTGCTTCTCCCTCTCCCACTCCCCCTGCTTGTGTTC